CCCCTGGTGGCGGGTTCTGGAGACGATGAACGCATGCTCAGACTGGAGAGAGCCTGAGCGTCAGTGTGCGCACACCCAGACGCTCGAGGAGGGGGGGCGTGTTGTGTGCGGCTTTGCGTTCCCCGGGAGACGAGGTGCGCATGCTCAGACGCCAGGCGTCCCGCTGGCGGCTGCGCGCTCAGGTTCAGGCTCCAGTCTGCGCGTGCCCAGACTGTGAGGCAACACCCAGCGGCGGTTGAAGTGCGTTGGTGGCGGTGGTTCTGCGTACAAGATGCTGGTGTCGATGCTGCTGGCGGCGGCGATCCTGCGGCTCTGCTTGCTGGCCAGAGCTCAGCCGCTGTGCCGGTGGGGCTGCCCTCCCCAGGGAGGGGTGCTGCCCAGGGTCGGGGGGGGCCCGGCTCGTCCCTGAGCGAAGCCTCCCCAATCTCGTTAAGGCTTCCCAGTTTCTTGTTCTAGAAATTGAACTTGCTGTTTCCCGTTCTTTCACCCCAACTCCTCCGGCCCATCGCAAAGTCCCCCCACTGCCACTTCAGAGCTTGGGCCCGATTCCCACCCTAGGAGCCACGTCCGCTGCCGCCCTAGCCATGCGCTTCTCTCCATCGCCCACTCCCGCAGCCAGAGGGATCATTTGTAAACCACTCTGATCTTGTCATCCCATTGCCCTGATTCTCTGTGGCGCCCAAGATAAAACCCAAGTTCCTGGCCCAGTCTACATTTCCCCGCATGATCTGGCCCGGGCATTCTCAACAGCTGCGCTGCTGACATTTAGGACACTCTGGGGTGGGGCTGTCCTGTGCTGCCTAAGATGTTGCGCAGCATCCCTGCCCTCCACCCGCTGGATGCCAGTAGTACTTCCTTACCCAGGCTTGACAATCCATCAAGACTGTCTCTAGGCACTGCCAAGTATTCCCAAGTATTTGAGAACCACCGATCTGGCCCCTGCCTACCCCAGAATCAGTGCTCCAGTCACACCATCCTTGAACAAGCCGAACTCTGGCCATAGCCAGCCAGCCTTGGGGACAGGGGAGATGGCGCTTGCCACTCCCTCTGCCTAGCACACTTTGCTTCCAGATTTCTCCATGGCGGGTTCCTGATCCTGGTTTAAGGCATTCTGATCCCGACTTAAAAAGCACACCTCCTTATTTAAAGCACTCCCCCCCCCCCCGCAATGGCTTTTTCCTATCAATCACTAATTTCTGTTATTGTTTTGATAAATTTTTTGTCTGTTGTTGTCACTAGAATATTAGCTCCATGAAGGTGTGGAGTATTTATCTCACTCGTTACCCAGAACATTTTTAGATTTCAGTAAATATTATATTAGTGAATACTGTATGGAGGGTGCCACAGGGGTTAGATAAATGCTAACGCCCAGTTCCTGTCCTCAGGGAACTCCTGCCTGGAGTAAGCTGTCATATTCAGCAGGGCCCTGTTTGCCCATGAAATAGTAAATGTGCGCTCCTGGCGCGTGGCCTAACTTGATCTTTACAACAGTTGTCATGGAGCAGTGAGTCCTTAAACTTATTTTATAGACGTGAAAACAGACCCAGCAAAATTAAAGACTCACTGACTTAAAGACACATAGCTAGTAAGCAAAAAGTAGAGTTTTCCAGTAAGATTTACCAATGGGATTTGTCCCAAAGTTTAGAAAGATTGGTGATACCCAATTCTCCCATTTCCTCACACTGGTTCTCCAAGTGTGGTCCTGGACCACAGAAGCATCACCTTGGAATTTGTTAGGCTTGCAATCCCTGGATCTACTGAATCAGAGACTTGGAGGTGGGGCCCAGCAATCTATCCTTTATCAAGTCTCCAGGTGCTTCTGGCGTATGTCAAGCTGGAAAACCTCTGCTATAAGCTATAAACTGTACCAACATTCTCCAGCCACCAATACCCTCCATCTCCCCGCCCCTGGCCACAGCCAAAGAGAGAGAGAAAGAAAACCCGTAACCCTAAAGCATCAGGAACAGGTATTTGAGGGTTAACCCAGAGATACCCTGGTAGGAGTCATGCTGAATATTCAGTAAAAATGACAGATGGTCTCTCTTGTCACTTACCTCTAGTAATCACACAGTGAGGACAGGAAAGGTGTTTCATATCAGTCAGCAAATTCAAGGGGTATGTGGCTCCATACTTCTCTCTCTCTCATTCTTCACTTTCAGAACTAACACTTGCTAGTATTTCTCGGGCGCCAATGATGTGTCAGGCATAGAACATTATCTAATCCCTACCATTGTACTTTGAAGTGGGGCTTAACCTTCCCCATTTCACTAAAAAAACTAGTTGAAAGCGATCAAACGACATGAAGAAAGCCAGGAGATGGAAGTGGGTTTAGAACTCAGATCCCCCTTTTCAGTGTTCATTTGCCACATGAAGCAGACCCTTACTTTGCTTACATGACATCCTGCAAGAAGGGACTTTTTTTCACCCCATGTGTGCCTACAATGCAGGAAGAAATATTTCACCTGTTAAAAAATGTGTTTCCTGTTGACATGGCATTATTTCAGAAGTGATGTCTGCATTTCTAAATCCTCTCCAAGCGCCTGGTCCCTAACATGTTACCATTACAATTCCTCATCCTCTGGTGTCTCTTTCAAATAACTCATGATCTGTAAATAAGCAATAACATGTACAAGGAATGCAATGTGATATCAGTAATTATCCTGTGAAAATTTTTTATTTTGACATAATTGTAAATACGCAGCAATTTGCAAGTATAGCACAGTGATGTCTCAGGTACCCTTCACCCAGCTTCTTCCCTCCCCTGCCCCCCACGACATCTGATGTCACCAGAGTGTACTAGGAAAACAGGAAAATTACATTACATTCCTATTATGCACCTACCTCAACTTCACCTTTACAGTTTCAATGTTACACCAACTGTTGGTAAAAACTGAAATTGTTTTTCTCAGCTGTTCATTATTATTAAGATTTGATTATCTCTCTAGGACCAACTGTATTTTTCATCTACGAGAGCACACTTGATTAAACATCCTTGCAAGAAAAACATAGCCCTGTATCTAGGGTAAGTGACCATTTTACATACTGTTACCTTCCTTTTTTTCTTTTTTTTAAAGATTTTATCCATTTATTTGACAGAGACACAGCAAGAGAGGGAACACAAGCAGGGGGAGTGTGAGAGGGAGAAGCAGGCTTCCAGCAGAGCAGGGAGCCCGATGCGGGGCTCAATCCCAAGACTCTGGGATCATGACCTGAGCCAAAGGCAGACGCTTAACGACTGAGCCACCCAGGCACCCCTGTTAACCTTCCTTTTTATTAACACATTAGATTTGCCCAATTCATCCATTCAACAAACATTAAGGAAGATGGCTCTGTCCTGTGTTGCTGGGTGCTGGCCTGTAGGGAGTTCATAGTCGGGGTGGGAGTCAGAGGAAGAGAAATGAAGAAACCAGCAAATAAAAGAATTACGGTATGGTATGGTACCACCTGTCACAGATCCTGGATATAATTAATCATCACAGAGGGGGGCACATTCAAAGAAATGGGAACACTCTGCCCAGCGTGCACTTGGGGTCATCAGGGTGCAAGGTTAGAAAACCAGATGTGTACACCATACTGAAATGTTTACTCCTCATCCTCAGGGCGATGGAGGATTGGGGGCTACACAATTTGTGTTCAGAAGGATTTCAAGAGCCCAACCCCCCCCCCCAAAAAAAAGAAAACCCAAAACAACAACATGCTAAAGCCTAAACAGAAGGCAAGGCTATAATAGAGGAGCAGGAGGGGACTCAGCAGGACTTATCAGTTCTCCTGGGGTGTGGAGAATGGAGGTGAGCAAGCAGTTTAAGGTGGCCCTCAAGTTTCTAGTGTAAGGAACGGGTTGGGGGAGAGAGTTGGCAGTATGGGATGGCTTGCTGCTTGCAAGACATTGAGGACACATGAGGCCAGAGATGGGAACAGAAGGTCATCTACATGTCAGTGGTAGTTCTGGCCGTGGGCAGTCACCTAAGGATCCCATGTTCATCGGCCAGAGGTTCTGGTGAATCTTGATTTTACAGAGCAGGTGGGAGAAGAGAGAGAAATTGGAACATAGGAGACAAAGAAGCTAAGGAAGCCAGGAGCCAAGGAGGAGGGAGGGACGTCACAGAGAAGGCAGAGCACGTGGGTGGGGAAGCAACCAACGAAGCAGTGGGACAGATGGGAGAGAAAGCAAGGACACAGAGGTCCAAGGCTTATGTCACTCTCTGCAGAAGCCAGGACATTCTGGCACCTGCTACAATGTGGATGAACCTGGAGGATGTTAGGCTCAATGAAATAAGCAAGACCCAGAAGGACACATCCCGCAACCCCACTCCTGGAGGTCCCCAGAGGAGTCCCGTCCACACAGACAGAGAGGAGATGGTGGGAGCCGGGGCTGGGGCAGGGGGTGGGGAGTCTGTGCTTCACAGGGACAGAGTCTCAGTTTGGGGAGATGGAAAGTTCTGGAGACAGAGGGTGGGGGTGGCTGCAGGACAGGGTGAGTGTGCTTCATGCCACTGAACTGGACATTAAAAATGATTATAATGGCATATTTTATGAATATTTTATCACAAATCATGAAATACACATATTGTGTGTGTTACTGCAATTCAACAAATTAAAAATTTAAATTAATTAAAATTAAATACAGTGCAGAATCCACGCAAACTAAGCACATTTCAAGCACTCAGTGGAGTGATGGCAAGCGTGTCGGACAGCTCAGGGGCAGAATGTTTCCCTCATCACATCTGCTTTAGAGCAGGAGTCATAAACGATGGCCTTCCAGGCCAGAGTCAGCCCCGCCACCTGATTTCGTATGGCTGGCGAGTTAAGAATAGTCTTTACATTTTTATATGATTGAAAAAATCAAAAGTAGAACCATATTTTATGACATGTGAAATGATGTGAAATTCAGATTTCTATGTCCGTAGTAGTTTTACTGTCTGTGGGAGCTTTTGTGCTACAAGAGCAGAGTTGAGTGTTCAAGACAGAGGCCATGTGGCCCCTAAAACATTTCCTCTCTGTCCTTTTACAGAGGAAGTTTGCCAGCCCCCTAGCTTAGAGCATAACATGCTTAAATGATACCCTGATGCCCAGAACACATTGCAGTCAGAGAGGGTCTGATTCCAACAGCTTCTGGCAATGAGACATTCTAATGCTTAATACAATGATGAAAATGTCACTTTTTGCCTGTAGTGTTGGCGAGGATGAGGGCAAACGTGGATGAGGCTAAGTGGGTTTGGACAGTTTGGCAGAATCTGTCAAAATGTTCAACACACATTCTCCGACACAATGATCCCATTTCTTGGCAGTTAAACTAAAATTATAATTTGTTTATGTTGCTGGTGCGTATGCTTCCTGAGACCTTTGTCCCACCTGGAACCTCTCCCTAGAGCGTCCTTTCCTCTTGCAGTCAGGGGGAAGAGCATTCCAGGTGGCAGGGACAGCATGTGCAAAGGCCCTGAGGCAGGACCTTGCTTGATTTTTGGAGGAACAGCTCAAGGACAATGAGTGAGGGGAAGGAGTGAAGGGAGATGTCAGCAGTATCAGATCACACGGGGCTTTGTAAGATGTGGTGACAAATTTGGATTTCAGTGGAAAGCCACCAGAGATTAAGCAGGGGAGTGACACAATCTGACTTCTCTTTTAAAGGACCATTGATTGTTGGGTGCTAAACAGGAAGCAGAGAGGTGAGACAGCAGAAGGACACAAGTGAGGGGCTGAAGCTGTGGTCCAGCGGGAGACCAGGGAAGCAGCATTGGAGGGAGATAGGATTAGGAGAGTAGTACTTGGAAACTAGTGGCTCAGAGGAGGAGGGGTCTTGGGGCCAATCAAGGAAGGCTGCATGGAGGAAGGGGCATCAGGGACTAGCTGAAGCCCAGGTAGGATTTCAGTCCCTCAGGGTGACTGTGTAGGGAAGCTCAGTAGTGCTGAGGGCAAGAAGCCCTAGGGTAGGGAGACAGGTAGAGCTCAGATCATGGACCACCCTGTAGGCCAGTTAAGAAGTCTTGCCCTTGATCCTTCAGGATATAGGTAGCCAGTCAAGTTTTCTGAGTAGGAGCGTCGGCCTGGCTGATGCCAACAGCCACTGCCTTTGGAGCTGGCTGTTATCTTGTGCTATAACATCATGATATATCTAATTTAAACATGTTTCCTGGTTTCTTTCCCTTGTTTACAGACATCATATTTTGTTGTCCACATGCCAGTCTTTTGCAAGACTGGCATGAGAGTCCCCTACTTTCTAATATACTGTTTCAAACTTTTTTTAAAAAGATTTTATTTATTTATTTGAGAGAGAAGCACAGAGCCAAACGCAGGGCTCGATCTCACAACTCTGAGATCCTGACCTGAGTCGAAACCAAGAGTCAGGTGCTTAACCATCTGAGTCACCCAGGTGCCCCTCTAATTTACTGTTTTCAAGTTGTGTCTAAAACCAGATCACATAAAATTTGAAGGAAAGCATATTCATAAGGTATTTGACCTTTAGCCTGTGAACAGTAGTGTTGATTTTGCATGTTCTTAAGTTTGTTGTTACTTCTGGATTCTTAACCAGGTTTCTAATAGCTAGGGTTCCTGAAAAAGTGAGCCATTGTATATTTATTTCAACCCCAAACTTGTTTCTTTGTATTTTTTTCCCTAGTGAACTAAAGAAGGT